TGATCACCTCTTGGTGTGCACACTCTACCAGAAGAACTGTCAACAAACGGGTAGTCAGACTCAAGTGAAAAAGACGGTACAGCATTCATAACATCCTTACTGTTCCCTCCACAACATCGCTTCGTTGCTGAGGTTGAGGTGATATCGAGGTATCGCTGGACGCCGAATTTCGGAATAGCTGAATGCTTTACACATCCATATTGCTGATAGGTCAAGTTGGTGTAGAGGTATTGCCCAAGGTTTGCAAGAGCCGTAGCATAACAACAACCACATGACGCCTGGTTGACCTGTTCACCACAGAAATCAACTTTTACTCTCTCTGTGTTACTTTTAACGTAGTCGCCACAGTAGGCGTGGTATTTTGGCAGGTTGTCTCCAGAAGGCAGACTTGGAATTTCGTTCCACTTCTGGTCACCTTTAAGGGCACTTTTTGTCGTTTTGTTGAACAACTCTCCAAATTTTTTATCTTGGGTTGAGACCAAGACCTCCATGTGGTGGTTGATTGGAAGTTCGTTGTCGAGTAAATCTGTGTACATGTTGATGTCGTGGTGAGCATCGGTGCGCTTTCTCCTCTCTTTGTTCAACCTCCGGATGTCTTCCAAATTCTTCTTGAAGATCCCATACCGAAATTCTTCCTCCGCTCCTGTTCTGTAGGTCTTTGTGTACATTGTCATAAACTCAATGAAAAGTTCATCATCGCTTTTGGTTAGATCAAATCCTAACCCAGCTGCAATAACTGCTAAAACAATTATTGTTCGATTCATTTCGAGTGGTGTTTTTCATTTGTTTTTCTGTCCTTAAGTGTTGTGTCATTCCTCCAATTTCAATCTGAATGATAATTGAGATTATGAAATTATAAAATTGTTTTACCCCAAAAAATATAAAAATGTTTTTTCTTATTAAAAATTTCAAATTTAGAAAAAACGTCCAATATAAAACAACCTTTTTACAACAGACGTTTTTAAAGACACTTTTCGAAAAATAAAAAAATAAAATTATTAATATATTAATATATTAATATATAAATAATAAATTATTAAATTATTATTCGAATAGTAATAATTATTAATAATATATTAACAGTACCAACAGATATACACAAAACACTTCACTTCTTTACAACGAACTTTTTCAAGTCGAAAGCCTCCTTGATCATTGGGCCGAAGAGTGCAGTAGTCGAGCTTTTGAAGCGTGGCACATCAACAAGTGCTTTTGATGCCTTTTCGTCGATGAAATAGACTGTAGCGTAGATGTTATTCATGACGGAGCGAGCGAAGTATATAGACGACTTGAAGTCGTACTTAATTCGCTTCGAATGGAGTAACGGGAGCATATCGAGAGCCTTAAAAATGATAGCCAAGAGTGGGTAAACGGAGTCTTCTGGGACGAACAGTAAGACTTCTGCGAAGAAGTACCCCAAACACGTCGCCAACATCTTCACGTCTTTCTGTTTCCAAACGATTTGCTTTCCTTCGTCATTTTCGAGCCCCAATTTGATCCACAAGAATCTGAAATACACGAAGTAGTTTGTTGCAGTGATAAATTTGAGTTTTAAGAAACGACGTGTTAAGTCCTCATGTGTGACAAGACACGTCCGTTTTTCTTTCAACGCCTTCACCTCGCCAGTGCGACTTTTAGAGACTCCAAAAAATGAGAAGAACGATTTGAAGTCTCCAGACGCTATAGGATCTACTATACATCTTTTAATCATTTGAGTCTTATAAGCCACCGAATATGAATCATTCAAAAAGGGAAAGAAGAAGTCGAAGTTTGAAGAGAACGTCTCAAGACTCTTCTTGAAGTAATCACTGAAGTTCTCCATTTCAAAATCAGATGGAAGAGATGCCGCAGGAATACTTAATTGCTCCATTCTCCATCGTATAGTCTGTTCCGCAAACTCCTTCTGTTCATCGACGATCACTTCTTGTGTCTCTCGACGCTTTCTATATAACATAATCAGTGCGTCATCCAATGGATCGATCTGATAATTCCTCTTCTCGTTATTCTCCTCTTCGGGGTCGCTTTGTGACTTCGACATCCCATCCGATCGATTTGCTTGATGAGAGAAAGTTGTGGAGATGACGCTGTGAGAGATCGATATAGACGTCCGTGACCCAATGCCCTTCTTATTTTTCATCTCGGAACTTTTCGCACGCTTTAAAGTCTTTGACCCTTTTGTGGCTGAAGTCACTACAACGGAAAATGAAAGTGGGGAGAACGGAGAGACATTCAGCGGATTCTCCGATTCGTCGAGAGGTATTATTTTAGTGTTCATCTTCTTTTTGATGTACTCCTGCGTGTTTGATGATATCGCAGAGACTATTGAGGCTTGAGAAATGTTCGTTTGATAGTACTCGAAGAATGTTTGAAGGGAAGTATCTTGGTATCCAAAGCGGTTGAACGATAGAAGAAGGTTCAAAAAATCAAGTTCGACTAATTTGGAGTCACTGGTGTACAACTCCTCGTTGTCTTTATATTCATTCAAGTCATTCCGAATTTTGCACCGATTACATAAGACTAAGACCATTTCCCCGTCTGGTATATACAACATGGCGACTTGAGCAGCAAAGATGTAAGAAGAATAGATGAGAGGACAAGACAACTCACCAAAATAGTCTTGAACTTCATTCTGTGGCTCTTTGTTCTTCTTTAACTCTATTAATGATGACCCAGTCACTTTCTGATGCCCAAAGTGGTATATCAAATAGACCATTTCTATGATATTCTTACATACTTCAGGATTCAAATCGAAATATGACTTTGGTGTCAAAGCAGTGACTAAATTCTTTACGAGTAATTGGTCTGAAATGAAGCCGAAGAGTGATAATAAATAGAATTGGGAAGGAAAGAGCTGTGTGTCGGCTTCTGTTTGTCCCGCATCTCTCCCAAGTACTATTTTGCGAAGAAGTGGAAGAGTGGCTTTAATCTTTGTCGATAACATTTGACCAACACAATTTAACACTTCAGTATGAAGTTTGACAAGTTCTGTTGCTCTGTCGGTACTTTTATGAGGAAGCGTTACAGTGATTTTGTTAATAACAGCCACGAAGAATGTGTTAAATTGTTTAGCGATAGTGTGTGTAGTTTTTGAGTGTATCGTTGGGAACACTGTCATGATGTCACACAGTTTGACGAAGTTGGTCAAATTCTTTTCATCGCCAACAACACAATCTATCGAGTCTTGTGACATCATCAAATACGACAAACATTGTTGCACCGCATCGACGTCATCAGTCAGTCTGTTATTTTCAAGAAGAATGATTGTTGTTTCCAGAAAATGTGGCACAAATTCGGACATCGCCACTTTTGCTGTTTGTGGTGCAAGTTGTCGCTGCAGATTTGTTCCATAGAACGGGATACTCCCAAAGATCAATTTATATTCATTTTCAAAAACACACCAACTTGCTTCATCCATCACTTCATACAGAAAACGACCAACATACGACGATGTGTGTTTGTGAAGAATGCACAGATTTAACAGCACTTCGTGAATTGTCACTTTCATGTGGTGGTCACTTGTGACTTTTGATGTTGTGCTATTCTTCATACAACTCGTCAGAAGAAAATACCCCCGCGAATCAACTTCGAGTTTGAGTGACGCACGAATTGCACTTCGCACCGGATTGATCTCAACAACGCGATTCAACCATTTGAGGACTTGTAACACAAAGATCTCGATGTCTGGTGTACTCTTCCCATTTGTGATTTGTAACACATTCAAACACAACTTCTTCAACAACTCGGGTATCGTCACTTTTGCAATCTTCTCCAATTTGGCATACGCATGTGACACATTCCGATCTATCGCTTCATTCTCTTTCATCGCCTCAGCTTTGTCTTCAGGACTCATCAACTCATACTCGGGATGTGGCATCTTCGACAACTCAATCACACTGTTTTTACTGTGAGCGTCACAAACATGTGTGCCTGCCGATTCCAACATGAAGTCGCCACAATGACAGAACTCAACACTGTTCCATACATGTTGATACAACAAATGATTCTTCTTCCGGTGATACTCGGCACATCGCGGACAAACTATGTACGGCGTCGCTTCACTCAACGAACAATCTAAACACTGAAATCCCTCCCCCTTCGGCGGTATCACCTCGTAACATCGCTTAGTGTTAATCAGTCAAATGATATATTTCACATAAAAAAGTTCAATAAAAAGAACTCAAACGTTTGTTGTTTGGTATTTAAGTATAGTTTCAGCGTTTAAATCGTCGAAAAAGAGGAGTTTATCCAAAAAAGAGTGTTGTTTCATCATGTCATATATATACCCTCTTGTCTCTCCATGGTTTTGTTTGGCACTGAGGATAATTTTATTTGACTGTTTTACTGTATTGTCGAGTGTGCTTATATTTAACTCCCCCGACATTGATTATTAGTTCAAATTACCATTTTTTAATTTAAGTTGAATGATACTATTATCTTTTTGAAACACTTTTTTATGTTTATAATATAGATGAAGAAAAACAAAATAATCCGAATTGTTTTATCGTTCAAAAAAGTACTAAAACTTATAATAAAAATACTATTTTGTATATCAAAACAATAACAATTATATTTTATTGTTTTATTATTCATTTTTTATAGAATAAATTACACAATAAAATACCGTTTTTTTAGAGAGCATATGAATCTATTTTTAACAATACTAAATAAAGACATATGACTGGATGAGACCCATCCACTGGAAACATGTATCTATTTTTTCTATCCACTGGACAAACCAGTTTTCATGGATGGCAAAAATAAAAATTATATAAATAGATTATTTGTTTTTTTTTGTAAACAAAATTTTATTTTGCCGAATTATTTTTTTCAATGTTTGTAAAATGAAAAAAATATTCAGATGTCTCACAAACACTAAAACAATTGTAATTATAAATAAAAAATTTTCAAAGTACATCTTAGTATAAAAAACAATGTACATATTTAAAAAGGTAATAATATTAGATCAAGACATAATTACAAAAATTATAATAAAATATCAAACATATCAAATATCATGATCATGATTTCCACAACATTTTGTTTGTATCAAAAACCCAATTAATAAACTTTCAAACAAAAACTCAACTAAATTAGTTGTTTGTTTTTGTTGTATATCAAGTCGTCTATCATATTTATATTAACAAACGTCTGTTATTTCAGTTTTTTCCTTGACATTCTGATGTGTACAAATATATTCAACATCAATACAAATGTAAACGACAATTCACATTTATTAATAACAGTAATAATAATGTAATTATACTCATATTTATTAATATACTTAACAATAAACATAAATAACATCCAAGTGACAAATAAAATATCAATTAAATTCTTTTAAACAATCTCAATTTATTACTAAAACATACACAAAAAAGTATATTAACAACACATGGTTAATTTATATAATTTAATATCTGAATCATTTAAATTGTTGCTGGTTTAAAAAGTCAAACAACATTAAATGTAGATAAACAACCATCTATAACAACACTATCATCTAATTTTAAAAAAATATAATTATGATACATTTATACTTGAAATGTGTTTATATGTATAACTAAACAAAGAATATTTTAATTGATGATTCATGATTAAATAATATAACACTTATTTAAAAAAACAATTTATTAGTTGTTATCATATATTTACATATACCAATTAAATAAAAATACTTGTTACAGTATTGTATTAAACAGAGAGATCATCATGTATAACTTAATTATTATAAATAACAATAAAGTATACATATTTAACATACACAAAAAGTTGATAATCCGCTTTTTGCAACATATTGTTTTAAGGTTATAACTAAAATAATATAATAAAAATAATGCAAATTATCACTTTGTATTGAAAAAGTTTTTATATTGTATATATAAGCTTAAGTGGTAAACAGTACTAATCATTTTATTATTAAATATCATTTTATATATAAAATCAAAAAGAAGCGATCATTAAGAAGAAAGAGTTTTAAACCTACTTAACTACTATTATTTTGCAGTGTTTTCTCTTTTTTATTATTTAATATACAGTTAAAATTTATACGAAATGTATTATTTTTTTATTTGAGCACAACCAAAATTAAAAGTTTATCTTCTATTTAATTATTTTATAATATAAAGTTTATATATGCTTTATTAAAAACATTAATTAACATTTAACAAACTGTATTTTCAATTATAAATAAAATATATACAATAATGTCAATACAAATGTAATTGTTGATTCTATTTCAACTTGTAAAGTAGTTGTCTATTAATTAAATATGTAGATTTCCCTTAGATTATTGATTGTAATATATTACGTGTATGTATATGTGAGCCACAAGTCGGAACCTAAAAATATTTTAAATTGTGTTATTCTCTTGTTATTGATGTTATATTTTGAATTTTTAGTTTAATGTTTTATGTTTACATATTTGACAATTACCACTTTTTAATTTTAGGCTGTTTTCAAATGAAAGTGTAACAAATAACAGAAAAACCAAATATACCAACTGTTGTTATTAAATTAATAATAATAATATAAATAGGT